TTGTGCCACAACAACCCCAGGCAGCGCTACAGGTTTGGGGAGGAGTGGCGGGAGAGCTGCCTGGCAGAAAAGGCCCTGGGGGGGTGATGGTGGACAGCCGGCTGAACATGAGCCGGCAGTGTGCCCGGGGGGCCGAGAAGGCCAATGGCATCCTAGCCTGTATCAGCCATAGTGTGGCCAGCAGGACTGGGGAAGTGATCGTCCCCCTGTACTCGGCACTGGTGAGGCCCCACCTCGAGTGCTGTGTTCAGTTTTGGGCCCCTCACTACAAAAAGGACATTGAGGGGCCAGAGCGTGTCCAGAGAAGGGCTACAAAGCTGGGGAGGGGTCTGGAGGACAAGCCCTGTGAGGAACGACTGAGGGCACTGGGGGTGTCCAGCCTGGAGAAGAGGAGGCTGAGGGGAGACCTTATCACCCTCTATAACTACCTGAAAGGAGGGGGTAGAGAGGTGGGGGCTGACCTCTTCTCCCTGGCGACAAGTGATAGGGCGAGAGGAAATGGGTTCAAGTTATGTCAGGGGAGGTTTAGGTTGGATATTAGGAAACATTTTTTCACTGAAAGGGTTATCAAACATTGGAAGAGGCTGCCCAGGGAGGGGGTGGATTCACCATCCCTGGCGGTGTTTAAAAAAGGGTAGATGTGGTACTTAGGGACGTGGTTTAGAGGCGGTTTTGTCAGGGTAGGTTAATGGTTGGACTTCATGATCTTAAAGGTCCTTTCCAACCCGAGCAATTCTATGATTCCATATGAGAAGCAGTTTTGGCTCAGTTTGCATGTACTTTAATATGATTGCAGTTGCTATATTACTTACGTGAATGAAGTCTGCATAATTTGAGGTGTGCTTGGTTGGGAAAGTTGTGAACGCAGAGCAGGAATATCAGCTACTCTAGTGCATCTCTTTCTGTAGATGTGGTTGCTGTATGACCCAAGAATTTGAGGGTTTAAAGTGATACAATTTGGGATTTTCTGTCTGTTAAAATTCCAGTTTCTTTTAGTGGCACTTACTTTCCTTTTGAATGTGTCTATCAGTTTGTGGCATGCAATTTTATCAGCTGAGACCTCTTAACTCAGTGCATGTGGTTAGCCGACTCCAATTGCAAAGTAGAATGTGTTAAAAGCCAAGAATTTTATGACAGGTGAATTACATTCCAAAGCTCGAATTTACAGGTCTATATGCGAGTGTTGCTCTTGACTTCATTAGGTACCACTTAAGATTTTAATTTGTTTGTTTGGGTTACTCTTCTTGTCTTTCAAGTTGGGTTTGAAGATTATGGACCAGACTGTGATAGCATGAGGATAACAGCATTCTTGGATATTCCTGGACAGGATAACTTAACTCCACTGGCTCGTCTAGAAAAGTATGCCTTCAGTGATAACATATTTAACAGGTAAGGATACAACAGTTACACTTGATAACTGAGCCTGATAGCATTGTGGATGTTAAGGTGTCACTACTTTTGTTATTACTGTCTTAAGTGAATGCCCAATACTATTTCCCTTTGAATAACTTTCATATAACATCTCCATAAAAAGAGGGTTTTATTCTTGGTCATCTGAGTAAAGTTTTTCAACTCCATCTTTGAGTTTTTTTGGGACGAGGAGAAGCTGTATAACTGGTGTGTCTGAACGTTTATAGAGGAGCTCAATCTTTTTTAACGTGCCCATTTACATTTGCATCCCATCTCCATGTCATTGGCAGGATATTAAGGCAATTAATATGTTGTTTGCTCCACAGGCAAATTATTGCCAGAGGTCTTTTGGATGTCTTTCGAGATTTCAGTAATAATGAAGAAGACTTCCTGACTGTAATGGAAATAGTGGTCAGGCTCTCTGAAGATGCAGGTTTGAAAGTTGTTCTTTTTGTTTGTGTGTTTGTTGTTTTTTTTTTTTTATATTTTTCGTAGCTTATTTTACATAAGCTGCAGTATAGAGGGCAATAACTTTCAATTTTGAGAAGGCAAGGAGTGAACTAAAGAAACTAAATCATCTAACAGCAATATCTGTCACTGAAAATGAGATAACTTTTTTTCCTCTGTATTTGAAATATTTTCTGTGGTACATGTATAAATGAAAGGCTCTTACTTGTATAGGGCATGAAGTAATATTTTTTCCAAGGAATTCATCACATCTGAACCTGTGGTGGCACAACAGAACAGTTGTGCATTTTAATACTTCATATGCATACCTTCATGGCAATTGGGTTTTCTAACTAGTACTCTTTATTTTATGAGATTAGGGAGCTGATTAGAAATCTCTGGGCTGTGATGATGTATATAAGGCTGTTTTATATTATTCGGCTTTCCTCTGAGAAAAGGCAATCTCATTGGTGATATTTCTTGTTTTGAGTATTTTCATTTTCCTCTGTTGTGAAAACAGCAAACAAAAAAATGCTACTTTTTTCTTAAGGTACTTAATCTTGATTTCATATTTACTGCTGTAATTTTGACTTTCTTTTTATTACTAGAACCAACTGTACGTACAGAGCTGATGGAACAAATACCTCCTATTGCCATTTTTCTGCAAGAAAGTCGACCAAACTTCCCAACAGCATTTTTTGAGTACCTTATGCCCATAGTAGTGAGATACCTCACAGATGTTAACAATCAGGTAGGAAGAACAGACCATGTGGATTGAATGGTTGGAAAATTCTGTGTGGTTCAGTGAATTTAAGGCATGAGGAAGAGACAATAGAAAGTTCCATGCTGATTGATACCTTGCTTGTGTGTAGTGCTTTGTCTTTATTGGTTTCAGCACACTTTGCTAGGGAGGTCAGAAATTTTTTTTGTGCTTTCCTTAGCAGATAATGGGAAGCTTATAGGATTTGCTGAGCAGCATATTGACACCTTCCGTTATGGGAGTCGTGACTTGCAAGTCCTGTTTTCTCCTTCATCTTTTGGCTTCTCCTCAGAATTTGATGAAATGTCATGTAATGATTATATTAAACTTTAGTATTCGTAATTCTTTATGGTGTTAAAACAGAGAGTGTTTTTTCCTTTTTCTTTTTTTAAACTTTTACCTGTGTGTTTATTGAAAACATGCCTCTTGTGGTTCTCCTATCAGTAAATGTTGTTTTTACAGTGATGTACTTTTTTGGTTTGTTTGTATTAATAGGTTAGAAAGGCAGGTCAAGAAGCCCTGCTTATACTGCTGGAACAAGATCTTATTGCGCAGAGTGACATTGAAAATAAGGTGTGTCCAATTCTGCTGGACCTCTCTGCCCCTGACAGTGATGATGAATACAAGGTGGAAGCTGTGAATGTAAGTGAGTTTGGAAGAAATCTTACATATTTTTTTTTCTTTTCTAATAATTTTTGTTCTCTATCTTTGAGCAGTGCTACTGTAAAGCTATTTTAGAATATAACAATTTTGTGTGAGATTTTCATGAGCATAGACCCCAGAAAATAAAAATGGTACTTGCATTCTTAGTGTCCCGAGAGCTTTACATTAATCATTGAACTTTCTATACCATTACTATTACAGTTTGGTTTATTTCTTCTCTGTTTGTTAGTTGCTCTGCTGCGAATTGAGAAACTGCTGTTGGGGTACAATTGAAGCTTAGGTGTGCTAAGCTGTTGTGCCTTGAATCTATGTGTTTCTTAGTTATTTTTAGTATTGAGCACCATTGAAACAATGTGAATTCTCAAAGAATTTTAACAGGGTCAGGACTTGATGCACCATACTGAGAGGTTAAAAATGATTCTAACTGAATTCAAGAAGAAAGCAGGGTTGTCCTGGGCACTATTTATTAAAGCCTTTGGTGAAGTGTAGAGGTACTTTGGGTAAGCTTTCTCTAGGTCCTATACCTTTTGTGTGATGAAGAAATCTGGACTTTAGTGTCAGTAAAGTGCTTGAGGAATCTTTTTGAAATTTTGTTTCTTGAGAATTGAGCTGTACAGCACAGTAATTGGGAATGTTATTGTATGCTTAAAAATGTAAAGCATCAGGTCTTCAAACTCAGTGGAAATTATTTTTGAAAAATCGTGAGGGGCTTTTTTATATAGATGATTGATGATGTATTGAGTACACTTAACAAGAACTACCCGCTCCATTTATAACAGTAATTAAGATGAGGTCCAGGAGTAGTACTGACATTAAATAAAATAAGCAATCAACCCTTTTGTGTTGATTCATCAACATACTTGATTATTTTTTTTTTTAGTTTAACACAACAAATCTTTAATTTTTATTCTGAATTTTTGAAAAGATCGGGTTTAAAGAGACCATCTTTATACTTCAGGATGCTAAATGATTGTCAAAATGGTAGCCAAATAACTTTCAAATGCAGTTGGTTCTTGGCAGCTTTGTTTTCATTCTTGTTAAGATCATTAAGTTCCTCAACAGCTTCTTTACATTTGCTCTAGAAGGTTACACAGTACTGTTGCAAAAGTGTGAATGATGACCTGATCTTAATTCCTAAGCATTCTGAAAAAAACATTCCCTGTTCACTTTCAAGAAATCCGTTGACTCCACAAGAAAGTACTGGTGTGTAATTACATTTCAGCGTGGATATCTGACACTTGACCTGTAAAATAGTTCTACCCTCTAGATTTTCCTCTTCCTTGTTTGGGAGTTGGGTATTGCTTAGGCAGTTTTCCAGCGTGACATATGAGCACCAGATGCCTTTTAGGAGTTTGAAAATTTGTGGGTAAGTCCTTGAATGGTGTCTTCCTTAGTTCTTATTTAGCATTCTGTTGCAAAAGCAAATGTTTCTAGGAATAAAGCTGGTTTTGTGGAGGTGGAAAGCTTTGATAATTTTGGAAAAACAAAAATAGAAAGATGAGTACTGTTAATCTGACAACACTTGTGTAAGCATTAAACTCCTGGTGCTGCAGGGAGAACAGTTGAGTAGGAAGGTGCATGGGAGCCCCTTCCTTCTTACTGTTGCAAATAGAAGAATTACAGCAAGTTATCCCAGAAAGTGGGAGCTGAAAGGAAACAAAATCCAAAACACCTGATTTTTCACAGCATAAGCATGGTTTGTAAAGGTAGTTGAAATTGACAGTTCCTTGGAGAAAGCTAAATTAATGAGTGTGTTAATAACTAATTATGCTGCGATGTTAACTCCTAAAATTTCTGTGGATGATTCCTGTAAAGTGTGCATTAGCTCACATACATCAATAGTTTCTCTTACACTCTCTTTTCTCTCCTGTTGTATGGCTAACTTTCATTTTTATCTCATTGTCTGAGCCTATAAAGACCTGGGACTGAGCTTGTTTTTTAAATATCTGAACAGTCCTGTTAAGGCCAAGGGGCTTACTTGCATGCTTTAGCTTGAGATATTTTTAATATGCTTAAAGATTGTGATTTTGTATGCTGGCTAGTACAATGGAACTTCTGTCTTCTCCATACAAAATACCAGTGTATGCCACATTGTAAACCACCTTAAAAATGCTTTTATTACCAAAAGTCTAGCTAACCAGATAAAAATAGACAATAAATTACATGCAGAAATGTGATGTTCAGGCACAGTGGCATAGAATGATTTTAAATAAAAATGGTAGTTGTGCTTCACATAAAACGAGTGCATGAAAATACGAATAATGTGTAGCAGTTAAATCTATTTGATGGTAGTTGCTGTTTTGCTTTCGGAGGTAATTTTCAGGAGGAATATTTGGCTGTGCTTACAAATTCAATAATTTTATTTTCCTTATACGTATCCCCTTCTTGATTTTTAGATAATCTGTAAAATGGCTTCTATGTTGAGCAGAACAACAGTTGAGCATATGCTCCTTCCTCGTTTCTGTGAACTGTGCAGTGATGGGAAATTGTTTCAAGTCCGAAAGGTTGGTGTGTTTTCAACCCTAAACCACTTAAAAATGAATTTATTTGTGGCTGTTCAAATGCCTTCCTGAATAATTTAGTCATAACTTTAGCTGATGGACTTTGAAAGAGTCTGGAAGAGCAGTTGTAATTTATTGACGTGGTTATAGTTTCTGTAGTTCAGTAAAGAAACAGATAACAGTCCCTGGTGAATAGCTTTGATGTAGCAATTAAACTGATCTTGCACGTCTAATAGTTTTGCATAACCTTATTTTTAAGCCACGATGCTGGTTATAGGATGCAAACAATTTACTTGATTTCTGCCATCTTATTTCAAAACCAGAAATTCAAAAGTAATACATACTTGAGACGTCCTTCCTTTAAAAAAAAAAAAAAAAAAGTCTGGTATTATTTGAAAGGAGAAATCCCAAAAGTATAAGACTGATTTTAATTCATGGTGGAGTACAAAAGGAAACTCGTAGCATAAGAAGTCTTAAAATATTTCAGTAGACTTAGGGGTCATGCAGAGCTTCAGCTTGGTCCTTAACATAAGCTGCATTTGTTGGAATTTGAGCTGCATTATAACCTTCTAAATAAGCATATTGAATGAATAAATCGTATAGTAACACAGTCCTATTTAATTGATTCCAAATTTTGGCAACGTCTTTTTCCAGCATGAGGGAATGTTCCTTTTGCCTTAATCATAGCATTTGTAACGTACTGTAAATGGCACTACCTTGAGACCTTGATTAAACTTTGCTTCAGCAAAGTACTTAAGCCAGTCTCAGCCATAGCAAAGATAGTTCTGTCAGTACACCTAAGTCCTGACCCTGGTATCATATTTTAGTCTGCTTTGGTTTTGACAGCTGCTGTTCAAAGTAATTTAAACTTTCAAGTAGGCGTATTGTCCCTTTCGGTGATTACTGAAGTAGATGATGCTTTTCATGCAGAAACCTTTATTACTATTGATTTCAAAGGCATGTGGCTTACAGAAGCTTGCTCTAATGAGTCTTTGTTCAGGATGAGTTAATATAACAGGATGTAGTTACATGGCTGAAATTGAATAGTCAAACGTGCAGTTACTACGTGGGATAAATAATGCATAGTGAAGTTGATAATAAAACTAATGCACTTAAAAGAGCCAGAATGTTATTAATGACTTTTTTTATTTCTTAGATTTGTGCAGCTAATTTTGGTGACATTTGTAATGCAGTCGGGCAAGAAGCCACAGAAAGACTGCTGGTATGTAAAAATCAAAATCAATTTACAAGACTTGTATTTCTCAGTTCAAAAGGTTTAATAATGAGTTCTTCTATTGGCTTCTCTGTAAACTAATCAGTGTGCATGCAGTTTTTTTTAATTGATTTGGCTAAGGCTTTGGTTGCAATTACTTAGCAAAACTGGGAATGGATAGCAATGCAAAGTTCTTATTTTTGCAAAACATTTTTTTAAATGTAATTGACAGCATATATACACACACACACTTCAGAATTACTGACTCTTTCTTTTTTTCCCTGGACTAGATGATCGGTCAAATTACAATTTCAGGAGAAATAGGCCATTAATAATTTTTCCTATTGTCTGTAAAGTTATACATAAAATCCTAATGAAGTGAATGGTAGACAGAGGGTTTTTTTCCCCAATGTCTTCAATTAGTAGATGTTTTTAACCTGGTCCTCTTTCTTCTATTCCTCACTTATTGTATTCTCCCATGAGTTATCATTGTCTCCAGTTTCCAAACAAATATCTTGATAGTAAGTTGTTGCAGCCTTTGTTTAGTCTTTAAAGAGTCTTGGTTTTGCTTATTTTTGGCAGATTCCCAAGTTCTTTGAACTCTGTTCTGATAGTGTTTGGGGAATGAGAAAAGCTTGTGCTGAATGCTTTATGGCAGTGTCTTACACCACATCCCCAGAAGTTCGCAGAAGCAAACTATCCCCATTGTTTATCAGTCTTATTAGTGACACTTGCAGATGGGTAAGTAACTCTATAATTGATGCATCTTCCCAGGCAAATCATACACAAATTAAGGGCAAGTCAGAAGTGTGCCATAAAACGTCTCTCAACTAAATTTGCTGAGATTAGCGTATAATCTACTAAAATCTGATCTCCTCTGGGAAGAGAGAGAGAGGTAAAATAAGATACTCTCTTACTACTTAGAATTTCTATCAACAGGGTTATTTTTCTTTTTTTTTGTAAGTGTAAGCACTCTTCTGAGAATAGGTTGCTTGTGTTAAAGGTATTAGTTGAAGTAGACAGTGATGTTCTTCAAATTTACTATTCTTAAAAAAATTCCTTCCTATGATTCTAGATACATGCTTAATATTCTAACACACTTTGCTTAGGTGTCACTTATTAGATAATTGGTTATATTTGGTATTAAATGAAGCTGTCGTAGTAAGAACCAATTGATTCCTACTAAAAAATGGAACCAATTTTTTTTTTTCAGCATGAACTCTGTGGGAATTGTGTGAATCCTGACTGTTGTGTTTATACTATCGCAGGTTCGTCAGGCTGCTTTTCAGTCTCTTGGCCCATTTATTTCTACCTTTGCCAACCCTTCAAGTGCTGGTCTTTACATTCGAGAAGATGGGACGCTGAGTATCCGACCATCAATGCAAGACGTGAATTCCAATTCCTGTCAGCCAAGCAACAATATAACATTAATGTCCTCCAGTACAAATGCTACGTTGTCCAGGTAAAAGCATGGGAAAGATGTGGTGTAGCAGAAGAGAGGAAGAAAAGATAATTCTTTTTATTGCTCTTCAGGGCTAAAAATCTCAACTTGAGAATGTAGTTTCAGTAAAGGTATGAAGAGTGAGATCATGCATGTGTCTATTTGAGTGTAGCAGCTTTATTGAAAAAATCAGTTTGATGGCTTCACAGGAGAGTAAAGGGAAAACTGGTGAAGTGAAGCATAGTGGTAACATAAATTCTGTCTTTCTGCAGAGAAAATAAACTTCTGTAGTTGATGCTGTCTTTTATGAAGTGTTTCACTGAAAACTATTGTTAGAGTAATTAAAGTTCTATTTGGATAACTGTGTGTGTCTGTTACCAGTTCAGAACAACCAATGGAAATCAAACCAGAATCATCGACTGAGGAGACTTCAGCTGAAGTTAATACAAAGCTCTCAGTTGAGAACCTAAATATAGAGACACAGGAAGAAATTTCAGATTGTTGTACCAATCCTGGAGAAGATGTGTCTCGATTGTCTCAGGGTGACAGAGTTGCTGCTGGTGTCATAGAAGTCACTAAGGACAGCAGTTTTCCTGGAATGAACTCAAGGCTACAGTCTGCTGAGGACATATTTAATACTTTTCTATACTGGCGCCCTCCTCTGCCTGATATAAGTCAGGATCTGGAGTTGCTTCAGTTCAAGACTGAAAAGCACAAAGATAGCTGTTCTATGCCATGTAATAACTGTGTTGCTAGTAGTGAAATAAAAAAGGTTCTAGAAAGCTTACAAGAGCACATAGATGATCCAGATGTTCAAGGTGAGACTCTGTAACAGTAAAATCATGTTTTCTCCTGGCCTTTACAAAACCCTTTACTGCATTTTAATTGGTTTGGTATTTGTAAGGTGATGAGACTTCCTTGAGTAGTAAATTATAGTAGAAAGTCACGCAAGAGCATTTTTCACAAGACCTGATTTATTTCTGGAACAGCTGGGGAAGTGTTCCTAGCTCCTGTTTGCATGAGAAATAAATTGGATCTAACTACAAAAGGGAAAAGAGCTTGTTGAAATTTGTGAAAACTGTCTTTAAGTACTGTAACCAAGTACTGTGGTTTTAGGGACAGAGCTGCCTGTTATCAGCTGAATTCATCTAGTATTTGGTTGAGTGAGAATGGCCTTAATTTTGAGTCATCTTTCCTCAGCCTCTCCATACAAGCCTGTTGATGAACATATTGAACTAATGATAACCTGCTAGTGGGATGCATGTGTGTTTCCTGGACCAAATCCCTCTTGACAAGCCCGTCATTCTTAATCAGTTTCTTGTCCACAAAGTCTCTTGAGTACTCTAGTGAATTAACAGTTTCCGTCTGCCTGTTTATTTTTCCTTTCTCTGTATGCAAAGTCATATCTGCAGGAACTGCAGCATCATTTGAAGTCCTTACTGTAGTAATAGTGAGTAGTAAGCCAACTGGCAGTGTGGCATATTTAGGTGGCTCCCCATGGTCATTTGGAAAGGTATCAGGAAAATGTGTGAGAGGCAAAGGATCAGGAAGAAAGGGAAAGATTTAAAAGAGCAAGATGTGAAAAAGTTAAAATTCAAAGTAGTAAAGGAAAAAGTGGAAACTGAAATGAACGCATGAAAAGATAAAAATGGTGTAATTGAGTTCTGGAAACAAAAAGCAGAGAGTAAAAGCAAAAGGAAGAGAGCAAAAAAACCCATTATGTAGATCTAAGACAAATGGAGAGATGTTAGCTTGACAGCTATACAGTGAGAAATGGGTTTGGAGAGGCATGGGAGAAAACAATGAAGATGATTTCTGCTCCCCTCCCCCCCCCAGCTTTAGCAGAACAGTCCTGCTTCCTTTCTCAGAATAAGGAAATGTGGATGTTAGTTTTTGTTTTCCTCCTGCTCTAACTGCCAAAACGTTCATAAATATGCTTGTGATCTATTCTTCTGCCTTTTAAGTTGTCTGTTCACCTTATTTCCAAAGTACTCTAGTATCCTTCACCTTTAAAGTATACTCTGATGTTTCATCTTAAGACTGTACTTGCGGTACGCTTGTGCAGGTGTAGCTATCTCAGAGTTTCTGCATTCTGAACTCTAGTAACGTCGTGTTCCTAGCAGCAATGTAGCATAATGCGCCAACACAGTTTGTCCTGACTTTATTGGTGATACAGTGGTAAACCCGACCTTTTGAGTTCTATCTACTTCTGCAAAACAGTTCAAAGGTGGTTTGACTAATTCCCTCCTCTGCATAGAGTTTTTCTCAGAAGTGTTTTAAATGCACAGTGACGTATTTTCTAAGCCATAGAATCAATTAAAGAATATAACAAGAATTTGTATTAAAATGTTTGACAGTGTGAAGAATGGGAGGTGAGCCCGTATGCTGTGATACCTCATTACAAGGGATTATTAGAAATACCTTTCAGTAGTAGAAATTGGTAGAATGGTTCTGCTGAAAATGTTAGTACATCTAAATCGCTGCTCTTAATTTGTGATGGTTTTGTGGAAAAAAAATGGGCCTTTTCTTTGAGAGCAAATGTTTGCTAGCACACCATTTCCATGCAGCTCACACTGGGCTTCTCTTTATCTTTTCAGATTAACTAATTGCAAGTTTAATGCATTTAAGTGCAGAAAGGAGACTAAATAGTCGTCTTTTGCTTTATACAGCTCAGGTCCAAGTGTTGTCTGCTGCTCTCAGAGCTGCTCAGTTTGATTCTGTTGGTGACTATGAGACCAAAAAAAATGAAGAAAGCAGTGTCAAACTTCAGAACAAAACTATTTCAGATGAAACAGCTGTTTCAGATGCTACCTGCAACCACATGGAGGAGGATGCTCTTTCATCCACTGCCTCCCAGGATAACATCAGTGACCAGTCTACCACCAGTATACTGAAAAACACAGTAAGTATGCATTGTGCTCCGTGTCTGAAATGAATTCTTACCTGCTTAAGTACTGTGTGTGTTCATGTAGTCCCTGGCATAATTGACCTACTTCTGATCTAAAGCCTTTGAACATCACTACTCCATAACTATCATACACTACTTATTTTCATTTAAAAAGAAAAGCTACCGAGGGCTATTATTTGTTTGCACACAAATTACTTAAGAGTTAAATTTTGCAGTAGTCTTGTAAGTTTTTGGGTGGTTTTTTTTTTTTTCAGATGAGATGTACCAAGTACAGTCTCACCTCTTCCTGTAACACATCTAAAATTAGTCTTTTGTTTCCAGACAGGAGGCTGAATCAGGTGGTGACACACAGTTCCTCATTACTATTTCTTGATTATAATGTACAGATAGGAGTAAAAAGGATTGTTTGCACAGTATCTAATGTTGCTGGAGCTAATTGTGAAATATAAAGAAAAGCTCTCCTTATCTATTAACGAGAACTGCACATAAAACCTGTATGAACAAAAACGTAAAATACCGTGTGAACTTTCAAACTTTGTATGTTTTTGGTCATTTAAACCTTTTAATTCTTTTGAAGTCTTCTGTTGATATTTGGGGAGAGGTGTATGCTTCATAATTTGGTAGACTTGGGAGTTTCCAGCAGTATGTTCTAAAATAAGTAAAGCTTTTATCATGGTATTGACTGCCTTGGAGCAACTGCTAAACTGTCTTGTTTAACATAATTTAAATTCACACCAAGAAGAAAAACTATTTAAGACTATAGTAAAAGTAGCCATCCAAAATCTGTATGAATGTTAGTTTCCTTGTGTTAAATTAGATTGCTTTTTTTAGAAGTAAATCTAACTACTGTTGCCCTTGTTGTTGCTATGGCCTTAATAGTGCTTTCTTAGTGTACAACTCTGTTGTCTTTTTGTACTTGTATAAGCACACTGAATACGGCTTTGCCTGTACAAGGCTATTGTGTATCTGAACTGTAGTGTGATGCTTTGAAACACTGGCACAGCAGTAAGTCTAATTCATTTCACTAGCTAATACATCCTTTTACAGGACTTGGAGGAACAACACAAAGGAACCAGTGTATTTTTAAAGAAAGAGCAAGAAAATAATCCACCACTTGAAGATGACAAGTCAAAATTACAGGTGATTAAAATAGCATAGAATCATAGAATTGCTGAGGTTGGAAGGGACCTTTAAGATCATCAAGTCCAACCATCAACCTACTCTGACAAAACCGCCTCTAAACCATGTCCCTAAGTACCACATCTACTCTTTTTTTAAACGCCTCCAGGGATGGTGAATCCCCCCCCTCCCTGGGCAGCCTATTCCAATGTTTGATAACGCTTTCAGTGAAAAAATGTTTCCTAATATCCAACCTAAACCTCCCCTGACATAACTTGAATCCATTTCCTCTCATCCTATCACTGACTGCTTTAGTGAGGGACTGGACACAGTTCATCTGACCCTTAATACAGCGATAGCTTTTGCAATTGATCAGTTGCAGAATGTTAAGAAATGCTCTGGACATTTGAGGAGAACTCTATTTTAAATCAGAAAGCTAGAAAAATTCTGTTGCCTTTTTAGTGCCCGAGAGGCAATCTGTGCAACCAAGGTAGGCGTTGACTACACTCTTTTGTCACTGGATTTACTCTTTGTCTTCAGCAAAGAATAAATTTTCAGTTTGGTTTGATGCAGCATGTTGATAAAGTAATAATTACTGTTCATTGCTGACTGCTCTGTCCTAATGAGAGTACAAATAACTACAGGGATCGTTTACACTTTGTAAAGCTCGTCCACAAAAGGGGCGTCTTGCCACTGTGCTTCGCTGCCAGCTGGTTGATAGCAGGAGAATACTGTAGCTCCACAGGTGTATTTTCTTTCTGATCTCAAAGTGTGTGTTGCTGATGTACTGTCTCTGTCTGTAGGATATCATACCCCAACCTTTATTAGACCAGTACTTGTCAATGACCGACCCAGCTCGAGCCCAGACTGTTGATACTGAAATAGCCAAACACTGCGCCTATAGTCTTCCGGGGGTGGCCCTAACACTGGGCAGGCAGAACTGGCACTGCCTGAAAGATACATATGAGACGCTGGCCTCAGATGTACAGGTAAAAAAAAAAAAAGGTTTTAATGATAAATCGCAGTTTTGAGTAGCTTCTTTGTTCAGTTCATTACACTGAAACTATAACGTCGTATACTTTCTTATAAGGGATTAAATACGCACTAAAAATATAAAATTCAAGATTTAAATCAGACTTCATAAATGTGATTAACACTTTCTACTGCTGTGTAACTAGCCCTGTTTCTTCTGCTCTCTCAATCCTCACACAGGTGTAGTTCAAAAGCTGCTTTAGTTTAGTTACAGTGCCTAATCTAATTCACTTCTTAAACTGTTTGCAGTGGAAGGTACGTCGGACGCTGGCTTTCTCCATACATGAACTAGCAGTTATTCTGGGGGATCAGCTGACAGCTGCTGATCTGGTGCCAATTTTCAATGGATTCTTGAAAGATCTGGATGAAGTCCGTATTGGTGTCCTTAAACATCTGTATGACTTTCTAAAGGTAGGAAAGTGTAATTTAATTTCTCAAGATAAAATTTTTTCCGACTCCATTATACGAAGAGAGTTTTCTAATGAGATGTGCACTATCAATATCTAATTACATGTTTAGTTTTGTGTAATAATGCCATTTTGTGTGTGTGTTTATTACTTTCTTAAGGTCCCTCGCTGCTATTCTGTCTCATGCCAACGAAGTATCAAAATTAAATGTGGTTGTAAACGCTCCTAGCTGTTGTAAGGGAATTAGCATTTTGTGCAGTCCAGCTGGAAAGTTGGTCTATTAGCAAGTTGCCTTTAGGGCCGGGAGTGAAGAGGGCAGATCCTGGCGGGCTGCTGCATAGTAAACACAAATCCTTAGTTGTTGGTTGCTCAGTCTCATGCCCAGAGATAGCGCTGTGATGGGTATCCTTGCAGAAGTGATGACATAATGTACTTTTTGTGGATGTCAGTCTTGTGTGTCCAGACACTCATCTGATTGTGCACAATTTCTAGTAAGCATCTTGTGAATGATCAGTTGTTTTCAAGTAGGAAAATGCACATAGGTGTGAATCAAGTAATACACCAGAGAACTGCAAGTCTTGAATTTTATCTGTTTTATACTAGTAACGTTTTTCCTTTAGTTACTTCATGCAGACAAAAGGCGAGAGTATCTTTACCAACTTCAAGAATTTGTAGTGACTGATAACAGCAGGAACTGGAGGTTTCGTTACGAGCTCGCAGAGTATGTAATTTTGTTGACTTCTGATTTTTAATCTGCATTACTAACTTGGAAATAAATTAGCACACCCTAATTAGCTAAAAGATTGCAACCATTCTGTATTAAGGAACTGAACTTAAAAGCCACTGGCTGTTGGCGTTTTGGGGGGACTGGGGGGGGGGGGGGGGGGGGTTGTGTTGTAATCAAGCATGACTGAAATGTCTGTGACTATACCAAAACTGACATCTTGTTCGCTTGCAGTTTATGTAATACAACAACCTGATACATACTGTCCAGTGAGGTTTCAGCGTTTATTCAGTTCTAGACTGCCTTGTAAAAATCAATGAAACGTGTGCACAGTCATTTTTCTAATGTGTATGAAAGAAAAAAACAGTTCTTAAAAAAATTATTCGTTTATTTCCTTATGACTGGGTGTATAATGGAGATAAAGTAACATCCTACAATTCTGTTTCTACAAGCCCTGTTGATATTTGAAGCACCCGAAGAATGTTTGTAGGCGTAGTTTGCAGCTAAAACATGACCTTTGTGCTTATCTTGTTGCTTTGTTTGAGCTATTGAGGGCTACTCTCCCTTTGTAGTTTGGCGCAACAAACTAAACCTCTCTCTGGTGCAAGACTTGTGCAGCAGTTCCCTGACATCTAGTGGAGCGCTGTTGTGTCAGGGTTGGTTTGTGCACGGCTGCTGGTAACGTACTGGCAGCAGTGTGGCTAGAATGAGCTCTGTGCGCTTCCGAGATACAAACCATTTTCTGAAATGTAGATTTCTACACCGAAGTAAATCTTTCATTTTCACTTTGCAAGAATGTACAGTACATTGGTCTGAAGTTGCAAAGAAATTTCTCATTGTACTTTTGTTTGTAGCTTTTGTTATTATTTGGGATAATTTTGATTCATTGGTACATCTAGTTTGGCTAAAAGCTTCTCTTAGACTCCTTGATGGATTAAAGAAAGCATGTACCTCTTTAATATGTGTGTGCACCTTTATGAATTAAAGAGAAGAACAAACAGTTTGAGTGCCTTGTAATAGCCGTGGTATTTTTGAGGCTCCAAATGATCCTTCCTTACATTTAACAGATGGTATAATTGGAGTAGGTTAGTGTTGCACTGGCTGGAGCTAATCACTTTCCTTGTGTTTCAGGCAGCTCATCCTGATACTGGAACTCTACAATCCCAATGATGTCTATGACTACTTAAGACATATTGCACTAACTCTCTGCTCCGATAAAGTTTCAGAAGTTCGGTGGATCTCCTTCAAACTGGTAGGGGATATAGTTTACTTCCTGGCAGGAGAGGAAGAAAATGTTCCTTGAGAGGAATGCCTGAAATCACACTGTTTTCTTTCAGACAAGTAGGGCGAATAGAGACATGTTTTGATAAACAATATGGAAAAAAGTGAAATGAAAACTTAATAAAATATTTTCAGTTGTCTGCCTTCCACAGATCTTAACATCTTTCTCTGTTGGTTGTATGTGAATGATAAATGTATTTTTAATGGATGAAAACCAGGATATAGAAGATTTGAGAGACTTTACCCCAGTTTAAAAAAAAAAAAAAAAAAAAAAAGAAAAGATTACTGATCTTTCGCCAAAGATTATTTAATTTATAAACGTCATGATAACACCATCATCCCATAGATGTCCTGAATGAATAGAAATATTTTTATTTCTTTTAAATTTCTTCTTTTTCTTCATGGCACCATGGAAAGGAGCATTATTTTAGTGGTTGTTTTAATTTCTTTTAGTGTTTTTTGTTTCACCTGAACAAACAGCTTTTTAAAGCTTATGCTTTCTTTTCTGCAGAATAAGCACAGTAATTAATTCTGTAAGCACAGCTGATTACACCGAATACATTTTTGGTGTCCCTTTGTAGGATTCAAATGAAATGATGCTTTTTTAACATTCTAATGGCTACAACTTAAGTTTCATCTCTTCTGGTTTTTTCCACTCCCCTTTCCTTTGCTTCACAGGTTGTAGCAATTCTGCAGAAGTTCTACGCAAACAATGCAGATGCACTGGGATTAAATTTCATTAATGAACTTGTAGTGCGGTTTCGTCACTGCTCCAAGTGGGTTGGAAGACAAGCTTTTGCCTTCATTTGTCAGGTTGGAATGTTCTCTCTCTGTGTTTCTGTGCGCACGCTTAACTTGGAGCCAATTTGAGGCTTTACACAACGTGGGCAAAACTGAAATTTGGACTCAATTTTTCTGTCATTCTTTGGGTTCTGTGATTCTGTGGGTTAACAAAAGACGGTGGCAGAGTTGGTCTGGTCTCAGTACTAGTGTGTGGCTATCCAGTTCTGAAGCTGTGGTTCTTGTTTTGTTCTGTGCCTCCAGCTGAAGTAGCTGATCCCTGTATTTTCTGGCATCCCGGAAGCAAAGTCAAGAATTAAGTTCTAAACTGAGATGCATTTTGTAATACTTTGACATGTTAAGAGAAAGGTTCACAAGAGCTCTTCAAACTACTAACGGGTGCTAGATGCCAGGAGCTATTTCCATCTTGATTTCTACTGCCCACTCCCCTCCAAACCAAAAATGCTGCTTCAGTAGCAATGAGGAGCAAGTGTTGAATGTTGAACGGCAAAAGGGCAGTGACAGGCAAGGGAGCAGTGTTTCCTAAAATATAGCTGGAAGAAAGTTATCTGTTCCTGTTGGGTCACCTTCAGGTGAACTTCAGAATGCTAAGACGTGTTTTCATAACAGTATTTCAAAGGTTACAGTTATTTCACCAACATAGGTTGTATTTGTTCAGAGTTAAACACTGACTTTTTTTAATAGTCAGGCAAAATTAAGGACAAGATGGAAAGGAATGGCAAATAGCGTATTTTTAACATAAATCTTGCTTTCTTGTGTTATGTGTTTATCCTGTAGGCCGTAGTAGAAGAAGAATGTATGCCTGTCGACCAGTTTGTTGAACACTTACTCCCCAGTCTTTTAAGTCTGGCTTCTGATCCTGTGCCAAACGTAAGGGTTCTGCTCGCCAAGGCTCTAAGGCAGACGTTATTGGAGAAAGGTGCGGTCATTAATTTCCTTTGAAAGAACTAAAGGCTCGTGAAAGCTGTCTCTCCTCTGCCACTGCAGTTCCTTATAAACTGACTCAGTTGGTGAAAAGACTGGTTCTGTTTATACTGAAAACAGAACTATACGTAGTAACCTGGGATACTGCATTTAAATTCAGGTTTAGGAATATAGATTTAGGAATGTATACTGTAGTGGCTTCTCTGTCTTGAATATTTGATCACCGTCGGTAAAGGGCCTGAAACGGGCATCGATGATCTGACCGATGTCATATTCTGCCCGCTGGAGGGCAGTGACGTCCTTGTGCTTAGCAAGAAGTGCGGCAAGTACTGGATGTTGCTGCAGGTGGTTATTTGTGGTATCCATGATGCGTGTGGCAAATACATTTTTCTTAAGCATCACATCAGATTATTTTGATATATTTTAAACCTTTATGTTAATGAAATAGTCATCTTTCGGGTCCTTCAGATGAAATGTTACGCCACCTTCTGAAATGGTTTGCTTTGTCATTTTAGTGTTAAGCTAACAGTTGTACTAGGAAAGAATGTAATTTTGTACGCTGCTACAATTTCCTGTATTACAATTCCTTAAAAGCAAATAAATGAGATTATTTCTCATTATTCAAAGGAAGATGCACAGAAATGCTCTCTCCTAAATTTTTTTCAGGATAAAATATAGTTTTGTAAAGCATTGTACAGTGGCAGCTTCCTGAGCTTGCTTTTACATCTTGATACACTCCTATGCAGGGCTCAGCAAAAAGAATTTCTCTTAGAAATACTGAAGTATGTAATAAGTGAGTAAGCAGCTGCATATTTCTCTTTCTGGGTCAGCTTCCGTAGCTCAGTGCAGTTTCTCTAAGGAGCCTATAAATTGGATGAGCTACCTGAGATGGTTTTGGCATTCTCTGTATTTCTGCATTACTTACGCCCTAGGGTTTATTCTTTTGACTTTGATTAAAATTGTCTTTTTCTCCCTTTATTGTAGCTTATTTTAAAAGTGTTGGCAATCCTCATCTAGAAGCTGCGGAAGAGACCATTCTAGCCCTGCAATCTGACAGAGATCAAGATGTGTCCTTCTTTGCCACCATAAAACTAAAACAGGGTAACATGGACAATACTGCCATCGGAAAACAAAACTAATGTGTTTTTCTGCAGTAAATGCTGAACATCAAAGTGGTTATTCACCTTATGGTCACGGTCAGTATGAATAATGTGGACAAATAAGAAGGTTTTTGTTACCTACGTGAGCTGGAAAGAGTCTGCTGAGAAATGTTGCTATCTTCGTTTCACGACCACCTTTCACCTACAGCTGTGTGTTTCTGTCCCATATGCATGAGTAATTAATTTTGGTTTTTACTTTGTAAATGTGGGTGATAACTGATCTCGCATGCGGTTAAGTATTGTACGTAAAGTCTTACACCATACGCAGTGTTTCAGTGTAATTGGAATTGATACTTCATTTTTTAACAAAACATTTCCAGTAGTAGAGCAGTCTGCTATAAGCTTAAAACGGTTTCTAAATCTTAAACCCTGATCATAGCAAACGTACATGAAGATATTATTTCCTCACTTTTATTGTAGTTTTTGTGTTGTTTCAAGTATTACATTTTTACTGAACAGAAGCGTATATATGTGAATAGTTTTGAATTTTAACAAAAAATGATGAAGAACCTAATTCTGTGTCAGTGGAAAAAAGCTCAAAAATCATTTCATTTTATTAAGTAGTTACTCTGCTAGAATTAAGGCATGGTTCATTTTTACTTAATATAATGTGACATTTTTTCAAAGCACAGAGAGCTCAAGATTCTTTGTATATGGTGACTTTTCTATTAATTTGTTATTTCTGAGCCATACCCGTACAGCTGTTACCATGGCTGTTTTCGTTACTGCTGGCTACGGTAGTGGTAGGTAGCCTTAATTTCCCAAACTGAAAATTACTGGTCTTGCCCTAGCAAAGTTCACTTCGTTTAAGGTATTCAGTTCCTGCAACTCGTGCTGGATCTGGAGAAGGGTGTGACAGAATTTTACAGATATGAGTTGTTGGTTGGGTTTTTACATACACACCTCATTTGAAAAACACCTTTTAACTGGTCCAATATTCAAATCCCGAACAGCGTGCTACTTTGTTCCTAAGAAACAAAGGACCTCTAAATTCTGAAAAACCCCAAATAACAAATGTTCGGGGGAAAGGTGTTGATGCAGTTTGCTCTGTAACTTCTGTTGACTGTATGGTGAGGTTTGGGGCAAACAACAAATGAAGGTTACTGAGATCCTTAAGCTTAAGTAGGATGTCTTCTGGGTATTTAAACAGCTGTTTTGGAAGAAAGAAAGTACAGATAGAACACAGTTCTAGTAATGAAATCGGACCACTTCGGATCACTTTGAGAAATTACAAAGCTAATGTTTTTTGGTGGATCCTGTCTTCTGTTGTGTCCCAACTCTGCAGATAAAGTGGGGCCTGGAAAATAAATATTCTTAATTTCTTAGATTGTGGATTGGAACTTTGTCCTATTGAAAATCTAACGCTTAAATAGTAAAGAAATGGTTTCATGTAAAAACAGTTACTTTCTGTCTGTGAACACAACAGCGTATCATAAATAGACCTGTGTAAATACATCCCCGTATTTCACTGTTACACTAGTAAGTCATTCACATGGGTGAAGGTTTTTACGGAAGTTACTTCTCTCTTTTTTTGTTTAGTTTTACAGCTGGCTCGTCAGCAATACAGCAAGTAGGTTCCTCAGCTGGGTTCTGAATTTTTGGAGGGCTCAGTTTTGTATAAGTTTAACTTGTATTATAATATGTACAGTATTTGTAACAAATTGCTTTCTTGTGAGATCACAAAATGCTTTTTGGAAGGTGCAGGCAGAAATATTCCACTGCTGTCACTGCTATTACAGCAAACAGTATAAGCTCTGTAAACTCTGCAACGTTCTACACTTAATTTTTTACAATTTTTTTATAATTTAAAGCAAATGCATCTTCAGTACAGACTTTTTATGATTGCAGTTTCTTAACAAAAAGACCTCTCGTTAATTTTTTTTCTAGTTCTAATATCTTTTTCTAATGCTGGCATTATACCGGTATTTTCTAACTGTTCAGATTTTCTAAGGCCTTTCTGACAAGGTTTTAGTTCTGTTTTTTATTATCAGTTCATTAAACTTCTCAGCACTGAACAGATTTTTTTTAAGTGTGTGTATATGTAAGTATGTTTGAAATGTACTGTATATAAATTAAATACCTTGAACATTAACCCAACCCAGGTTTCTGTTTGTCAGATAATGTTAAATAGTCACCTTTACTTGCAATAATTGACGGGAAAACGCAAGCTTCCATATGTTTTAGCATGTTTGATTAGTGTTCATCAAGAGTTTTTCATTAGAATTTGTGTAAACGATAAGCCACCAGCTATAAAAGTTCACTAAAAGGCTAAACAAAGTTCTTTGCTTTTAACAATATTTTGGTACTTCTTTGGCTCCAGAAATCATGTCTGCTTTAAATGATATGATTTCAGTAGAGCGTTTTAAAACTTTTGTTAAAACTCTGCAGTTGCATGCACTAATGGGGGGACATCATAGCTTTGGGGTGGGGTTTTTTGTAGACAACGTGCAGGTCTGTTAATCAGATTTACCCTCTACAAGGTTTGTCTTTTTGGTTTAGTTTTAAACTAGAAATGATTTGGCATGACTAAAGACCGCACTTTGTCTTGTACTAGACAAATGAATGCAATGATGAGTAAAGCAGTGTGTTCATCTACAGTTCTCTGGGTGGTTTAAATTATGCAAAGATATGTATTTTAAAAGCCAGGTGGAGCAAAGTTAAGGAGTTAATCCACTTCCACAACAGCAGTAAGAATATCACTTTTAAACATTTCTAGCTAAGGAACATGAAAATAACACGAGTGGGTGCAATATTGCTTGGATGTTACAGGAGTTTTATCAAGCACTTGTAATCCAAAGCCTGCGGGTCGTCTTGCTTAGAACGCGGACTGCCCGGCACGTGGGGCGTGCTGCAGCCTGGGCGCGGGTCGCTGCTGCCCAAGTGGTGGCTGTGTCTGTACACGGTGGTTAGAGCCCAGTTAAGCGGGGACACGCTGGAAGTGTCATTCATTTGTCAGAATAGAGTCTATGTAACTTCCTATTTGTATTTATCTCAATAAATCCTGTAACTGTTTTATAAACCAACTTGTGGTAACTGACTTCCGTCATAAGTGGTGCGATGCAAATGTATTCTTTTGGTCCACGAAGCCTCTCCCTAGCGTGAAGACTCATCTGTCGAGCCAGGGTTGAGTGTGGAATGCATCACTCTCTAGTACAGGATCCATTATATGTCTGGAGATTTGAAGTAGTTCTTCCTGCACTTTTCTCTTGAAGTGAGCGTGCCAAAAGTGCTTTGAAACTAAAATTGTTCTGTCAGCACTGATACTCTAAGAAGGTGTACTTTAAATGAAGAGAACTTGTGTGTACTGGGTGAGACTGACATTCAGATCTTTATCTTAAATCCTTCCCTCTCCAAACTTCAGCCCAGAAGGACATTCTGTGGACTGTTGTTTCGGTGTGGTGTTGCTCTTGGACATCCTACGTTAATGGACTCCGTGTAGTTGTTAGACCTTGGAGCGTGTGGGGGTGAAATGAATAATTGGCATCTGCCTGGTTGGGTTTGCTTCTAATCTCGGGAGTCTTTTCCAGCTTCTGCTGCTGCAATCGCCCTTTTGGCTGTTTTGGACACTCGCTGGCTGCTCCATCCTGTGCTCGAGAACTTCTGCCAACTGCTGCAAAAATCCTCTGCAGGATTTTAGCTGGTGCAAAAGTGAGGAGAATAAACAGCCCCCTGCACCCCCTGGTAAAGCCCACCCACCCACTTTGAGTTAGGGCACAAGACCCCTATGTAGTAAACTGCAAAGGTGGATTAAACAGCCGTATGCTCTTTTTTATTACACATTACATACACTAAACACGTAGATTGAGATCTAGACTTTAACAAAGAAAACAGCAACATAAAATATGGGCAGCTTTTGAGTATTTACCTGAGTTTACTACTTTGTTTCTCTACGGCTTGTCTTCCAAGTAAGTTTGTCATCCAAGTGAAAATCAAAAGATGGGCAAGAACAAAAATCTTTCTGTAATCGCTCTGGTGCGTTACTTGTGTGGTGTTCTCTGGTAAGTTTGTGTAGGCTGTCACATCGCACGTGCAGACTGCACTTCCGTCACGTCAGTTTATGCTGCTTGGATACTGCAAAGTGCTCATGATGCTCAAGGGGGTCTGCGTGGAGGGCTTTGATACAAGGGGAACGTCTAGGGGAGGGAGGAGTTACTTGCCATAGAAATTAAGTGGGTTAGTTGTACTTGCAACTGTTCACAATGGAAGTGGTAATTTCAGGGGACTGGTAATCCAAACGCAAGGGGTCAATCCCTAATGCACTCTGTTCAATTTAGAAATAAAATTTCTTTTTGCTGTTACACGTAAACAGCACATACGCTTGGAGTGCAAGTTCCTTTCACTGTTTTAGAACTTCTTGTAGCACTGATGTGAGCATACTTTCAGATGCTTTTCTTGTCCCTGCTTAACCTGATGTCCGAAAAAAGTTTGCATTTTTTGTTCAATTGCCTGCCATTTTACTCTTCTGACGTGTTCCCAACAAAAGATACTTAATCCCCGTGTTTTTCATATAGATAGGAGAAATAATACATAGTATGTAAACAAGGTCTTTTTCTTAGTTATCTTAAAACATCATTAGGAGATTGAGATTACCTGTTCTTGGGTACTCCGGGGAGGCTGAGCGACTTGTCTATTGTTACGGGAATCAAGGGTAGAAACTCTCTGTTTTGTAGTCCATGTTCTTCTGGCCATACTGACTCCAGAGTAAGAATGGTATTCATTACATGACAGTGCAAAAATCACGAATCAGAAGACGTTCCCTGCCTCATCCACTTTATCGGGTGCTAGCTTACGGTCCATCTTGAGTTTGTGATCCTGCCAAGTTTGATTAGTAAGGAAGCTTTGGTTTTTATTGAACAAATACTTTCTGTGGTGCTTTGATAGAGGGCGTGCTGCTTTCTTGATTTAGGACTGAAATGTTGCCTCGGCAAAAACACAAGTTACTCTAGCTGATTTGTACTGTAAACCTTCAGGCCTGAACAGATGTGGTCATGAAACATCCTTTGGCACCCTTCATAAAGATCCATTATCTCTGTTGCCCTGGCCTGTGTCCAGCCTGGCT